GTGTTATAATGGCAGTGTTATTAGTGATAGCACATTGTGTGCTGGCAACGCGGTGTTATTGGTGTGATAGTAATATTGTGTGTTATAATGGCAGTGTTATTAGTGTGATAGTAATATTGTGTGTTATAATGGCAGTGTTATTAGTGTGATAGTAATATTGTGTGTTATAATGGCAGTGTTATTGGTGTGATAGTAATACTGTGTGTTATAATGGCAGTGTTATTAGTGTGATAGTAATATTGTGTGTTATAATGGCAGTGTTATTGGTGTGATAGCAATATTGTGTGTTATAATGGCAGTGTTATTGGTGTGATAGCAATACTGTGTGTTATAATGGCAGTGTTATTGGTGTGATAGCAATACTGTGTGTTATAATGGCAGTGTTATTAGTGTGATAGTAATATTGTGTGTTATAATGGCAGTGTTAGTGTGATAGTAATATTGTGTGTTATAATGGCAGTGTTATTGGTGTGATAGCAATATTGTGTGTTATAATGGCAGTGTTATTGTCTGATAGTAATATTGTGTGTTATAATGGCAGTGTTATTGTGTGATAGTAATATTGTGTGTTATAATGGCAGTGTTATTGGTGTGATAGTAATATTGTGTGTTATAATGGCAGTGTTATTGTGTGATAGTAATATTGTGTGTTATAACGGCAGTGTTATTAGTGTGAGTAATATTGTGTGTTATAATGGCAGTGTTATTGTGTGATAGTAATATTGTGTGTTATAATGGCAGTGTTATTAGTGTGATAGTAATATTGTGTGTTATAATGGCAGTGTTATTAGTGTGATAGTAATATTGTGTGTTATAATGGCAGTGTTATTGGTGTGATAGTAATATTGTGTGTTATAATGGCAGTGTTATTAGTGTGATAGTAATACTGTGTGTTATAATGGCAGTGTTATTGGTGTGATAGTAATATTGTGTGTTATAATGGCAGTGTTATTGGTGTGATAGTAATATTGTGTGTTATAATGGCAGTGTTATTGGTGTGATAGTAATATTGTGTGTTATAATGGCAGTGTTATTGGTGTGATAGTAATATTGTGTGTTATAATGGCAGTGTTATTGGTGTGATAGTAATATTGTGTGTTATAATGGCAGTGTTATTGGTGTGATAGTAATATTGTGTGTTATAATGGCAGTGTTATTGGTGTGATAGTAATATTGTGTGTTATAATGGCAGTGTTATTGTGTGATAGCAATAGTGTGTGTTATAATGGCAGTGTTATTGGTGTGATAGTAATATTGTGTGTTATAATGGCAGTGTTATTGGTGTGATAGTAATATTGTGTGTTATAATGGCAGTGTTATTGTGTGATAGTAATATTGTGTGTTATAATGGCAGTGTTATTGGTGTGATAGTAATATTGTGTGTTATAATGGCAGTGTTATTGGTGTGATAGTAATATTGTGTGTTATAATGGCAGTGTTATTGTGTGATAGTAATATTGTGTGTTATAATGGCAGTGTTATTGTGTGATAGTAATATTGTGTGTTATAATGGCAGTGTTATTAGTGTGATAGTAATATTGTGTGTTATAATGGCAGTGTTATTGTGTGATAGTAATATTGTGTGTTATAATGGCAGTGTTATTGTGTGATAGCAATAGTGTGTGTTATAATGGCAGTGTTATTGGTGTGATAGTAATATTGTGTGTTATAATGGCAGTGTTATTGGTGTGATAGTAATATTGTGTGTTATAATGGCAGTGTTATTGTGTGATAGTAATATTGTGTGTTATAACGGCAGTGTTATTAGTGTGAGTAATATTGTGTGTTATAATGGCAGTGTTATTGTGTGATAGTAATATTGTGTGTTATAATGGCAGTGTTATTAGTGTGATAGTAATATTGTGTGTTATAATGGCAGTGTTATTGTGTGATAGTAATACTGTGTGTTATAATGGCAGTGTTATTGGTGTGATAGCAATACTGTGTGTTATAATGGCAGCGTTATTAGTGCGATAGTAATATTGTGTGTTATAATGGCAGTGTTATTAGTGTGATAGTAATATTGTGTGTTATAATGGCAGTGTTATTGGTGTGATAGCAATATTGTGTGTTATAATGGCAGTGTTATTAGTGTGATAGTAATATTGTGTGTTATAATGGCAGTGTTATTAGTGTGATAGCAATACTGTGTTATAATGGCAGTGTTATTGGTGTGATAGTAATATTGTGTGTTATAATGGCAGTGTTATTAGTGTGATAGTAATATTGTGTGTTATAATGGCAGTGTTATTAGTGTGATAGCAATATTGTGTGTTATAATGGCCGTGTTATTGGTGTGATAGTAATATTGTGTGTTATAATGGCAGTGTTATTAGTGTGATAGTAATATTGTGTGTTATAATGGCAGTGTTATTGGTGTGATAGTAATATTGTGTGTTATAATGGCAGTGTTATTAGTGTGATAGTAATATTGTGTGTTATAATGGCAGTGTTATTAGTGTGATAGTAATATTGTGTGTTATAATGGCAGTGTTATTGGTGTGATAGTAATATTGTGTGTTATAATGGCAGTGTTATTAGGGTGCAACACTGCCATGAAACTTGGTGTCACAGACCTAATTTATTGTCACAGGGTTAACTAAAATGAGAAATAAAATTGAATTTTAAAATAAAAGGTAAAACTAGCTGAAATGGGAATTATTCCAAACCAACTATTCTTTCAGTTAATCTACTATGGCCTTAATTTTGACATTAGGTTTGTTCTTTAGTGAATAGGCCTGTGTTACAGATTGTGTGTCTCTCACCCACGCACACGGAATTGGATTTAAAATGGTTTCTAAGAGTGCTTATCCAGATAACTATGCCCTCACTTGGAAATGTTACTGGAGACACACCTGGTAACCCGCACTTACCTGTGAGGCAATTGCAGAGAATGGTTAGGTAAGAGCCGACCAAAGATCACATAAAATGGCAGCACAGAGCGTGAAAAAGTCCGGTAATAGGAAAGAGATGCATATAAACAAGAATGCCAGAACACAAAAATTTTTGGGGTGTGGCAGGGGGGTGATCATGTCAGATTTCCTTTAAATTGAGCCTCATCCACAAATACAGAAAATAGCAATTTTATTTTTAGTCACCCCCTTCTTTCTTCTCTACCTTATGTGCAAGAGTGTGGCATTCCTAAAGTCTAGCAGAGACCATGGATGAGTCAGCTGATCCTTCTCAGCCAGTGAGTTTTGCCTCGCACAGCAAGGGTTCGCCCCAGAGAGCCTTCAAAAGGTCCTACTTGGGAACCAACAGCTCTCTATTCTTAAGTGAGGCTGAAAGCGACCTCTAACATATGCCAGGTAAGAAGTCAAACCATTCAAAAACAAAATGGTTTCACAACTGGGGAGGGGTCAGGGCACCATAACACATATATATATATATATATATATATATATATATATATATATATATATATAAATAGAATATTCCTTGCACTCACGCTTAGGTAGTCCAATATGCCTTATTAGGCTTGCCGGGTGCCAGTCTTTAGGGTCCTTCAATGTAGTACACAAAACAAAGCAGGCTGCACTCACGGACTTCTGAATATCAAATGTGGTTTATTCCATCCAAGAAACAAAAACGATCAACGTTTCGGTCCACGCAGGGACCTTCATCAGGATCAAACAGTACTGTTTGATCCTGATGAAGGTCCCTGCGTGGACCGAAACGTTGATCATATATATACATATATACATATATATACATATATACATATATACACATATATATATATATATATATATATATATATATATATATATTAACCTGGTAACACCCCCTTGGCTTGCAAGCCGACAACAGGTAATGTTACTTCCTGGTTTCGTTAGCTAAATGCAGCTGACCTCAAGAGGCAGCAATTGCCCAGATCACATGACTTATAAAAAGACTTCTCATTGAGCTGTATTGGGAAGTCTGTGATTGGACAGCCATAGAAAGTCTGGGCTGGACTAGAAGTTGAGAGCTTGCAAAAGCATCAGACTAGATAACTACAGGTTTTGCAAGCTAATTTTAGATATACATGGCTAATGAAAATATATATCTACTAAATAGTGATATTTATTTTGTATTTGATCAGTGGAGTGTCCCTTTAAGTATTGAGTCTTGTGATGTATTTGTCACTCAGCATTAACAAGAGCATTGGACAGCACATCATTTCCAGCAAAACAATATTTTATTTTTGGCTCAGTTTCTAACAAAAAATATCTTTATATAATTCATAAAAAAAGTGTCTGTAAACACAATGAATACTGCAACACAGCATCTTCATAGAAGACAGAACGCAGTTCTTCTGGAAGAAGAAATCCGGCACTTTCATCACATCAAGGCAACAATATGAGGCCCTATTCTGTACAGCTGCCAGTGGGCAAAGTGAGGGGAAGGCCATGTTTCCAGTGACCCCCCGTGGCCAAAATAATGATTGTACACCAAAAATTCCGCTCACCAATGGGAGGAAAGCATCGCCCGCAGCATCACATAGGAAGTACACACACTTCTAGTAAGCAGAAGAAATGGACGATACAGCTTGTCTGAAATAATGATGGGCATGTGAGTTCACAAAGCTTGTGATTATGCGAAATGAAAATAGAATAATGAAAAAAAATGATGGCATAGTCAAGGTGTGCCATATCTCCCCATGTCTCTGAAGCATGTGATATCCTCGACTTGGAATGAATGCAGACAAAACTTGTCCTTTCCCTTGGAGGATGTAAAAGATTAGTGTCCAGTCTCCACAAACTGTTGACACTGTGCGGATCCCACTTCTGCCACCACGTCTAGCAACAGGCAGTGCAAGGAGCTGCAATAACAACATCTAGAAATGTCAAATCTCAGACTGGAATGGAAAGTTTGTTGAAAAATAAAAAGGAAGTCCACATCTTTGGTTAGCGTTAGTGGAAGACAATCCGTGTCTCCGTGCAAACAGCCTTCTATGCATTGACTCAACAACACAATACTCAGCCTCCAACTCTGTGCAAATCTCCTGTGTCTGAATATCACGCAAGTTGGACTCTGTTCCTGAAATCTTAAGGGGAAAAAAAAAAAAGTCACATCAGAATGACAAGTAAACATGTTATTAAGGTCATGACCAAAAAAATTTTCCCCGGATTCTATGGACAACTTTTAAAGGGGAACTTGTACTGTAAATTATATATTGAATAAAAATACTGAAGATCAACTATAAACTTGTGATAAAGGGTCACCCCAGTGATGCCTGGAGTATTGTGGCCCTGTTTCCCAGTAATGGGACAAGCCCTTTAACTGGGTTCCCACCGGGCTCCAAGACTCCCTGGTTATCTGTTGATGCGATTCCAGTTTCTGCAGAATGGACTAGGCTGGCTTTAGACATCCCTAATGATGCTGCCGGAGGTTCAATTACACTTCCAGAACCAGAGGGGTTAAACTCTGTATGTGGGGAGTTTTATAGCAAAACACTGCACATACAGACTCCAGGTACCATGACCACTTCAAATCATTAAAGTGGCCATGGTACTTAAAGTAGACCTTTAAACTTTTTTTTCTTTTTTTTCCATGCAAGGTCTTTCATTTTAAATTTATCTTAAAGGGACAATATGGTCACCAGAACAACAACAGCTTATTGTATTTGTTCTGGTGCGTATAGTAAGTTCCTGCAGGATTTTTGCAGTAAACACTGTCTTTTTATAGAAAATGCAGAGTTTACATTGCTCCCTAGGGACACCTCCAGTGGCCAATTCTCAGATGGCTACTAGAGGTGCTTCCTGGGGCAGTGCTGACATTAAGTGTCCCCACTCTGCATGTAGACACTGAACTTTCCTCATAGAGATGCATTAACTTGATGCATCTCTATGAGGACATGCTGATTGGCCAGGGCTGTGTTTGGCTTGTGCTGGCTCTGCCCCTGATCTGCCTCCTATGTGAAAGCATTGTGATTGGTAGAGATCACCACTTCTGATGTCAGCCAAGGAGGCAGATGAAGTGTAGAGCCAGCAGCTGCAGACAGGGATAAAGGTAACAGTATTTAGAGGGAAAGGGGGTGGGGGGGGGAGGGGGGAGATAGAGTTTTTAAACACTAGAGGGCCAGGAAGACAGGTTTGTGTTCCTGACCCTATAGTGTTTCTTTAAAAAGATTTACCAAGTAACATCACAATCAAGTTTAACCCTGCCACAGCCAGGGTATACACTGTATCATAGGAGAAACCATTTTTGTTTCTTCTCGTCTCTGTTCTGATTGACAGGAGCAAAGGTCAGACCTTTTAACAATGATTGACAATGAGACAATCAGGAGGTGCTCATTTCCAGGATAAAAACAGTGTGGATTTTTACGCGCTACCTTTCGCCGACCGAATTAACAGAGTTGTGAAATTTAGGGGATAGGTAAATAAAATGACAACTCTAATGTAACGGTTTTCCTTTAAAAGAAGTGCAATATAATAGTGTTAACTTTCAATACGTTTTGAAATACCCAATGACTAGATTTAAGCGCCTAATAAGTCTATTCACCCAGATTTATACTATTAAAAGGATTAATATTCTATTCATATTCACTCTACTGATACACACCTACATGCCCATCACATCACTTTGTTCAGGGTAGAATGCAAAGTGGTGTTGTGGGTAAGATAATTTAGCACCATTATAAAAAGATTGCAAATTTCAATCCTTAAAATACTAGTATATCGCACAATTTACTTTACACCTCAAAAGGCAGTTCACATTATCAGGGTCATTACTAAGGTGAGAATTCAAAAGTGACTTTCAAGCTTAAAGAGAAAAATAGTGGAACTCGAAAAATTATTTAAGTTAGCAACGTTATCAGTTCAGCTACTCTGACCTTAAATGTGAAATTTGAACTTTGAATGCTCACATAGGTGAATAAACAGGATTAGGTTTTTGCTTCGGCAGAGTATGCGAATGCAAAGTTGTGTGTATGGAGTATCTGTGTGAAATTCGCAGTGGTGTATCTGTGGAGGATCAATGTATAAGTGTGAATAGCGGGGTATACTTGCTCACTCAATCTCGGACTAGTCACAAGGTTTAATACTTCTAATTGTTTTATTACTAGTGCCGTTTCCGTTTCTCTTTGAATGGAGGCATCTAATTTTAAAGCTTTTCTTCTGCAGTGTTTGCACTCAAAGTCAATGTGTCAAGAGGAGATTTTACAATACATATTTATCGAGATATTGCCAGTTGGATCAAGATTTTCCATTACCTAGAGAGGAATGTCCGATAGGACGTGTATTGATTTTCTTAGATTGTAAGACTTGTAAATGTATTGGAGGTTTCTCTGCAGTTTTACAAAACTGTTTATATGTCTACAAATGGCTGTTTTACAGTCAGTCATTAGACTAGGGCTTGGAAAATCTACACTACCAGGTAGCCATGGTGACACAAAGATCTGACACAGGTAGAACTGTCTCGCTGTGTTTGTGAAAGGTCAAAAAGATCTTACTGAAGAATGGAGAAAGAAGACCGAGCTCAAGTACTTTATTCCAAATCACAGAAACCTACTGTCACATTGTACCCAATCCCTCCTTCTATATTTAGGATTCTCTAAAAGGTCAGTTCCATTCCTCATTCCTCGACTCTGCATCCTCCCAAGTTTATAACCTAATACAGGTCTATGGATGTGCAAGGGATCTCTTAACTCCATCTTCACTGTAGACCAAGGGTGCCCAAAAAGGTAGATCCCCAGATATTTTAAAACTACAGTTTCCATGATGCTTTGTATTTCTAAAAGGCATGCAAAGGATCAAGGGAGTTGTAGTAGCACAACATCTAGGGATTTACCTTTTGGGCACCCCTACGAATACCCAAAAGAGCACCTTCCTTTCGGGTATTAGTAAGGACGCCTGTGTGATAGAGTGTACAAGACCCATCTTTTTCTAGAATATATAGCCAGAGACTGAAGTTACAATTCTGGCAAATTTGGCCAACTAAAAAGGTATTACAAACTGAGGTTGGGGATGTTTCTATTGGACTGTAATTTGAATGAGACTACAGGGTGCAACACACCTCACCACACAGGGACATCTTTTATTAACTCAGAAAGTAATAGAATTGGAATAACAGATTCACGATATATTGTAGAGATCAGATGTATTCATTTCATTCTCTGTATATTTGGTCAGGTCGTAGAATGGACTACTTTGGCATAAATGTTTGCTTAACCATCAATTACACATGCAATAAAAATCAGACATTTATAGCGTTTCTAGAGACTAAATGCTTGGGAACTGCATCAATTACTTTTCTTTTCCTACAACTATGGTTTTTCATTAGTATTGCATGCCGGTTTTACGTACTTACCTGGTGTACAAGGAATTTGGATGGCAATGGAGAGAGGCCAGGGATTATTTATAATGGCTGTGGGTCTGTTCCAGTCCAGAAAGCCATGAGCAAGGATCTCCAGAGCTCCATACAACAGAGCCATACAACAAATAGAGTTATAATCCAACAAACACGTTCTGGAAGTCCGCATCATGGCAGAGAACCAATGTGGGCAGCCCGGTGCCGAACCTTTGTTTTAATATGCAGTAATGGGTCTCTCAAGGCACAATTACCCATAATTCTGTGCTTTCTTCGGCCAGATAAAGTGCTACAAAGTTTATTATATTCTCCACCTCTTAAAAATATATATATTTTAAAAAATTGCTATGGAAAAAAAAAAAAAATCCTTTTAGATTAAAAAAAATAATAATAACAAAGTACGTGCAACAGACAGAACAATCCAGAGGCAAGCGTTGCAGAGCAGAACGTGTCATGGCCAGAGGAGAAGGACGAGGCAGCTCGTTAGCAGGAGTGATGAGACATGAATTGTATATGAGGAACTTCCAGGGGGTTTTCTGGGATCTGAAAGAAATACTTTGTATAACTAAATAGTAAATACTAAAATAACCCTTACATGGTTTTTCATTTAACGTAACACTGTAGTGTTAGGAATTCATTGTCAATAAGGCTACCATATGTTAACAGTGAGATACTAACAACTACAAAAAGTGAGACTCAAAACATACGCAACGGAGTAAGGAAACAAAAAAACAAAACAAAAGCATACTAAAACGTGAGTGTGCCCTGTCAAGCGATACAAAAAAAAGACTGTTTCTTCAAATTTCTGAGTGTACATGGGACACTATTTTCTTTCCCCCATAAACTCAACTTCACTTACTCACCAAGGCAATCCGCTACTCCCAATATCTGCATTTATTTCTCTATCTATACACAAGTTTCATCACTCATAACTTTACATGCACATGTAATTGCTCAATATTCCCCTTACCTCCCCCTGTCCGGTCCCCACCTCCAGGGCCAGGTGCCCCTCCTCGAGGCTGAGATTTTGGCACTTCGGTTACAGGTTTCACTGCTGGTTTAAAAAAAAAAAAAAATTACATGAAAGTGAAGGTGAGTGTCTCAAATACATACTCAGGGAGAGGGGGAACAACACTACAAACTGGTAACTTATTTTGTATACGTACAAAGCATACAAATGGGCAAGGTTGTGTTAATATGGTTTCTAACCATTGGCAAGGAATATCCAGTAGATCTAGGGAGACCTGCTTCCATATAAACGATAGTCTTTATTTCCCGAGTAGCAACGTACATGAGGATTTATTTATTTGGCAGCAAAGGTAAACAGGGGTCCTGTATTCAACAAACGTAAAGGAAATCTTGTCCGTCAACTAAGAAAGGTCACTTTAAAAGCAGCTACCTTTTAGATAAGAACGGTCTTGTGTACTGCGCTTGCATGAATTCATTTTATTCGATGGCAGGATATCGCAGCCCACAGTCTAACAAACTTAAGTGACAGATTTATTCTTTTTGAAAGGGTTATTGATCAGAAACACTACTTGTATGGACTCATTTTGTCTGTAAAAGTCATCGCTATGCCTCATGAAATCAACACTGTCTGATATTCTTTGTCACTGAGAATAGATCATTTCCAGACAACCAGAGAACCTGCACTTTAAGTCCCAAACAAAGGGAGCAATTTTGTGAAAACCAAGGGACGCTGCATTTGCACTGGGCCCTAGGAAATACTTATTGTTTCCATGGAAACCAGAGTCAATAATCCATTAGGACATTTTGAGAGAAAGGCTGAGTGCTGGGTTTTCTGTGTGACGTCTACTACAGAAACTGTTTGCAAAAATAAATAAATTTAAAAAAAAAAAAAAAAATTTAAAAAAAATTCAGACTGTTTGCCATAAATGTATGTAGCGGTGTTTAACTTTTATTCTGAAATAACCCCAAATTACGTGTGTCAGTCAATAGCGTGACAACCAATTCTCCACTTGTAATATAAGATACAGACAGACTAAAGACAAAAACCTGCAGAACATCTTCATCTGGACATCTCCGCTTGGCAGAAGGGTCACCAGCACAGGACTAGTGTGGGGCAGTTGCATTGGGACGGTCAAATCGAATTATAAATAAATAAATGGGGAGCCAGTACACTGATATGGTGACTTAAAACTGGGTTCTAATCCAGAGGTTGGGAACTACTGATGGGAGATATCTTGTTTGAGGCCTCTTAAAGGGATACTGGCTGTGACTCCATGGGAAAAAATGTTTTTCAGATCGTACTTACTTTAGAGGTTTTTATTTCCTGATCTGTAAAAGGAAATTTAAGCGCACACACGAGCCTCCTTCAGGGTATAGAAGGCTATTAACAGAGTAGGAGACACATTCTCAATTAAATAGACTTTGCAATAAAGGGAAATTTAAACATCAGAGGACAGGAAGTGTTGAGGAAGGCATGTCTAGGGCTACCTGCATGTGACTTCTAAATGGCAGAGAATTGAGCAGTGAGACAGCAGGGCTTTATCTATACACCAAAACTGCTTCATTAAGCTAAAAAGGTGCTTTGGAGACTATAATGTCCCTTTAAAAGTTATGGAAGCAACATTTTTAGCTTTGAAAAAGACTAGGCAGGTTGGCAGGATGAAGGAGGGGGAACTGAACCATCTATAAAATCATTCTGCATTATGTGTATACTTACTGGTAGGTCGGCAGCAGACTGATAAACGCAGTTTTAGGCATTCGCCGACACTATCTGCATTTGGTATAGCTGAAACAAACGAAAACCAAAGAGTGAGTGCCTGTCTTTATATCGACACTAGGTAAAAGTAGAAACTCATAGCAAGGAGCATTAAACATGCAGAAAACACAGAGAAAAATTAAAATTAAAAATAAAAGGTCAATACTCACATTGAGGGAAAAAAAACAGACAGAAGGATAAGGATATCGAGAACAAAGAAACGAAGGCTGTAGAGGAAGAAGGAGAGAAAGGGAGACACACAATGAAAACAGACACAGAGCCAAGCACACATTCAGGAACAGTGCAGAGCCAGATACAGTCTGGGACAAGCAATACATTTATAATCTTTAAAGTGCGAGAACAAAAATATACATTTTTTTTAGTAATCATAAAAAACACCAAGAAAGCAGTTTGTACGTTTTCGACTACACGCTACTTTGTCGGACGAGCCAGGTGTTCACAATTAAAGAGAGACAAGCACAATCGTCATCAAATGAAGAAAACCCAGTTTCACAAATTAAAAAAAAAAAAAAAAATCACTTAAGGAGATATTAAACTACACTGATCTCCATGTAAGAGGAGAGTACTCAGTCACAGACACGCCAAGCCAAAGCTTACAGAAACGAAATAGGATCACTGGTTCCAATCCCAAGTGCTACCTTAAATCAGCTCATTTGTTTCTTTCACGGAACCAAAGCGTTATTCTGAAAATGTTATTGTCCCGTTAAATTCTACAGACCAGGGAATTCCAATAGCATACATACCATTTAAACAAGTTATAAATAATAACTCCAATCCCTAAAACATGATTAACAATAGAGGACTGCAACAAGGTAACTATTACAGGGTTTCCCCATTTCATATAAAAAAAAAAAAGAAAAGAAAAGAAAAACACACAAACACAACCAATTATAGTTGGTTACATTTACTATTAACTCCTAAATCCCTATTCACTATGGATCTGCTAATATTTCCCTAGCCATTCACCAATCAAATACTATGAATATATAAAGTGCCATTAAAGCCCAAAGCCATGCACGAGAGGAATTTAGCCCAAAATCACTTTATTGGCAATTTTCGTGCAGCATAAAATGACCTTTTTCTGAGGCTCTCCCCCACCCCCTCTTCTCCCTAGTAACTCAACCACTAGATACAGGTCAGACCGCAGCGTATACAGCTCACATATCTTGTCTTTAGGGATGATGGTTTATGTCACAAACCGGTCTGATGGCACTTTCCGATCTGGAAACAATCCAAGGCATTACAGCTTTTTGTTACTGGGTGTTACACACCCCATACCTCTACAAAAAGAAAGGGCTTAGGTGGAATTTAAAGAATTGCAGAAATATTCATGCTCCTCTGGGGGAGGAAAGAAACGTTGGGAAACGTTCATTGAGAATTGGAAAAAGATTTCTGTACAAAGCACTGACCTAACCGAGTAGTCACATGTGTGGTTATGGGATTCTGCTCCAGGTTCTAAAAGTTGCACTGGAATACAGATGTTGGCTGTTTACACCACTTCTAGTGTTCATGCCCCCAATAGATAACCCACTCTAGTGACAGCACTAGACATGGTGGATCTCTAACTGTAAAAGGGGAGGCCACGAGATTGTCACAAGAGGTGTAGCCAACATGCACATACTCAGGACTCTCCAAGTAATCTAGTGTGGCACACTGGTGCAAAGGCACTGCCAGGGGAGCCTATTACCCTGTGAGGGAACTTGGCACGGAGCTGTGTCTAGCACAATTTTTCACCATCTTGGCTTCTTCCCACTGTTTGAGACCGTTTAAAGAGCTCTGGAGAGCATAGGGCAACACACACCCATAACTGAAAAAGACCACGACCTTCTGCCAGGCTACATGAGTCACCATCACCACCTGGGGATTAAGTGGGATCAGGCCACAATATTTTAATTTTACAGTGGTGTAGTGTATGAGCACGCCTGAGAGTGTGTCACTGACAGCGTAGGAATGTCTTTGAGAACACTAAGTACGCTTTTGTCAAAGTTACCCTGTCACATACACTCAATTCAAAGTATGTGACCTTTGTTTCCTCACAAAAAAAAAAAAAAAAAAGAGTCACATTTTTGGTAATGACCCTCAAAGGCAGCATGACTGCTTACATTGTGTCAACCATGTGGAAAAGGAAGGAAAATAACTAGACCTCTCCTGGGTGCTACCATGTTTAACCTTGTCCTCAGCTACTGGTGACAATTTACCAGGAGACATCACTGGTGCAGTAACGCACAAGAGGAGCTCTATGGAACAACCGAGAGCTACACATTGGGAAGCCATAAAAAGACAAAAAAAACGCAGCACAACAGGCAGCCTGTGATGGCTAATGGCAAGATGACAACGCAGTCTGTCATTTCTAGTATGAGATCTTCTAAGTTGGAGTTCCAATGGAATTCCAGAACAGTTAAAGTTTTTTTTTAGTTTTTTTTTTTATTGTAAAAAAAAAATAAATAAAAAAAAAAGTAAAGTACACCACATATCTCAAAAGTGGCATTGCCACTTTAAAGCCTACGGCCAGCCTTGCACGCTTTGACAGGATTCAATCTAAACCCACTATTACACAAGATCCAGGAATACGAATCAGTTTAACACACAATCCTTCCTTGGGCTTATTGTGTGTTATCCGGAAAACATACTGTAATACTCCCCCAGGCACCCCCTCCTGTACAGCCTATCCCCACCATCCCTGATCAGGAATAAAGCAGGAGACACTAATCCCTTCTCACACCAACTTCAGCAAAACCTTATCTCACAAGTTAAAGGCGTCCCATCTGATAAGACGTCTGATACCAGAATATAGAGCGTTTTGGTATTGCTACTGAAGAGGAGGGTTTAGGCATTTCTTAATAAAGCTTAGTCATACAGCAAATAATGAAGACATGCTGCTTATTAATCTTATCTAATAGTTGAGATAACACGGGCCAAGACAGAAACAACACAGTCATCAGATACTGAAGAATTACTTGTGATTACTTCAGTTACATATCTCCATTATCTGAATGACAATGCAATGACAAGAAGCGGGTGCCGAATCTGGGGACTATACCAACCCACAGGACAACACAGAAAAGATAGTAGTCACCAGAGAAAGGAAAAGGTCGAGGAACTCAAAGGCTTAGATAGGCATTGTTATTTCAACTACAGTGTCTAACAGCAACATTTCCACCCAAAGGTCTTTCAAGACCCTTTTTAAAAAGCACGTTCGGTCGAAACGTTGCTGTTGGACACTGTAGTTCACATAAAAATGCCTAAGCCTTGGAGTGCATGGACCTTTTCCTTTCTCTGGTGACTACTAACTACTTCTTGGGCCTTGGTGCTTGCCCCAGGTTTCGTTGCACCCAGGCTTTTATTAAATAGATTGAGTGCAGCTCCATTTAGTTTTTTTGTTTAATACCGAAAAGACAGACGCCAAGTGAGGCCATTTATGTAGGGAAAATGGGAACAAACAGTAAACCAAGAAGTGTGGTGTTGAAACAGGAATTAAACAAGATTTTTTTATTTTTTTTTAAAAGGCATAAATGCATGCCAATTCACAGTCCAACCACATGAAATGTTCCACCGATAGAACATCGAGAAAAAAAGTACAATATACATGGTGTTGGACCAAATTCTGGAGAGAAGATAGTATCCAGGAGGTGGCCATAAAGAGTTGGTGCAGGACATGAACAGATGTGCTCAATGTTGGGGCAGGGGTCTATTCTTGCAGATAAAAACCATCTGGACAAATCTCGGTCCCACTGCCCTCAAGGTACATCAATCCTTACTGACCATAAGCCACATCTCTGGGAACTTACATGAGTCCGATATAAACCAAAGGCTGGCAGATTGTAGTTACAGGAACAGGAAGTGAATGCCATGTTTTATTCTCACTGAACATTAAGAGAGGCATGTTAAACCCCAGAGGAAGCATCAATGAGGCGGCATACGTGGAATAGAGGTCCAGAGCAGAGGGCGACAGGTTCAAGCACTATTAACTATGATTTATTCACAGACTTCCTCAAGCTCAGAGGAGACTTCCACCAATCGCCAAGGCCAGGATTAGGGTAGCGTGTAAGAAACATTAGCCCAGGCTGCAAGGCTTAACCAAACAGGAAACACCTGGCCTCCCAGCACATGGCACACAGGGGGTTAAACTAGGCACAGCACATGAGAAACTCATTATAGCTGAAGGAATGACATGGGGCTCCCAGATCTCAATGAACTAGGAGAAGGGGGAAGGAGGGGAGGAGCAAACAAAAACCAAATACGATTTAGAAACTCAAAGTATTTCATATAATGGTGCAACCTTAGCAGAACCTCGAACAAGTGACCATTGGAGCAATGAGACAGTGTGAGACTTCGTGTCATGTTCTGAAAAGTGATGCGAAGATGTAAAAGGATACATACAAAAATAAAGAGATACATACAGAATAAAGTCCTGGTTCTACACAAGAAAGGAACTGCTGGACTTCTATAAACGAGCCAGTGTATATCCATTGTACAGCACTATGGAATTTGCTGGCGCTATATAAATAAAATAAATAAAGGGATACAATGGGATCCCAGTGCGCACAATTATTTGGGTTCCTTTTTGTATGTGGTTATGGTGGCACGCCCTGAACACCTATAGATTATCAGATAAACAGGGTGTACATTGCAGGCCCCATCTTTAAGGGAATGAGGACCCTAAAATCCAGCTTGAAGATTTTTGTGATATAGAGATAGATATAATAGGGCCTAAAAGGTTAATGATACACTTGGAAAAATTATATATAATAAAAATCTTCAAATTGGATTTTGCCATCTTTTGGATCAATTAGGATTTGAATTTAGATTAAGTTTCTGGGTCCCCGATACCCATATAATGGAATACATGCACAAGGGGTACACAAGGTGTTCCCTACATTTTTAGGAGTGGGAGGTTACGCTGACCCCTATACTGAGCAGTTAGACCCTGTGTCCAAGGGGGTCTTATGAGCCCCTATAAATAAGTAAATGCACATGGGATATTTTAACGGTAGAGAAAAATTTTTTAAAAATACATTTAAAAAAATAAAAAAAAAAATAAACGCACAGCATAGCCCAATCTGCCTGAAGAACCACTTACACAGGATTACCATGAATCAAACAAGAAAACAGTTTAACCCTTCGCATACACGTTTGCTTTGGTGAATCTTGGAGCACGCATACAATTTTATCTTGTAATCGAAGATTAAGGAGACAAGATTATAGCTAGGAGGGACAGACAGAGTCTGAGTGTCTCCCCCATCCCACCACTCACAATCCACTGACTACACCAATTTTATCAGTCAGGACACAACAGGCTGCAGGGCCACCAGGGAACATTGTGTGACCTTTAACCTCGGAAGTGCCTGACTAAATGCCCCCAAGAGGAAGAGGGCAGGTCTGAAACTGCTCCCTAAGAAAAGGGCATGCAGGAGACACACTCCCAGTCCAGCCAGTAAGGCCATCATCGGAAACTGGGAATCCATGACCCCTGGGGGTTCAGTCCAGGGAGTTACCATTCATTCCTCTGAAGTGGTTATAGGCATTCACTGAATCATTAACCCTGTGATACTCAGACAAGAGAGACGGCTACAAATTAAAACCTCTTCCAGACACAGTGTCACCAAGACTTAAACCCCTGGACACGTCACTTTACACAAGGAGCGATGCAAAAGGATCATTACATTACATTAACAGGTTGGTGGGTTGTTTTGTGTTTTTTAAAGACCACAAAGACATACAGATATACTGGGAAAAGCAAGGAGATCTGTTGGTTACGCATAAAACATTTTTTAGTAGAATAAAAAAAATAAAAAAATATAAAAAAAATATATATATATAGAAAATAAAAATGAGTTCCAAAAGGCACAGCATTATATTCACACAAATAAAAAAAACATAGAATATGGAAACAAAATGAATGGAAACCGTAAAGGAGTGTATAAAACTCATGATTTCACCTGACACCATCCTGTTAATTACAGAAAGCTACGTGTATTTATTAACATTTCAATGGGAAGAAGTGGGATGTAAATCCCAAAGCAAAAGGCTTAAGAGTCATAATTGAGAAAAATCATCAGACATTGAATGCGTTACCTCCGCACCACAAGTCTAACAACCGGCACTCCTACAAAATCCTGTAATACAGTGTGTGTCATTAAAGATAATTAAAGGAACAGAGAATACCAGAACCACTACAGCGAACAGTGGGAGTTACGTGGCAAGAAGTCTTTGGTGGTTTTCCACCTGTGCTCTCTAAGAGCCTAAAGCCTACTCTGGCAGCCAATAATAAAATCATGTTTTCACTTCTGCTTTTGGAGACAACGTTTCTCAAAAACTGTACGGACTGTAGTTCCTTGCACAATAACCACTACAATAAAATATAGTAGTTATGGTTCTTAGTGTGGCACTACAACCCTTCTTCCAAATTTGGACACAAACAGACTTCCTGCACTGCATATACACATATACAATTAGTACATACATTAGGCTTATGTACTTACAGATATAATAATATTCTTGGCCAGGTCGGAACTCAAACCCCAGGGAAAATGGAGTAAATTTCTGGATCTTCTCAGAGAACTTTATGGGCCCAAAAGGAGCATATGGCCGGTTACACTCCCAGCGTTTAAAGGCTCCTTGGGTCTCGTAACATCCTTCATACCCTTCCCGATTCACCATGTAAAGTACAAAGGATTCCGTGAGCTCCACTGGGTGCCGGGAGTCATAATGCGGGCAGTATATATCTAGGTAATCATTCATCTCCGCTGTCACTGTATAGTCATCCTTTAGAAACCTGCAGGGAAGAGAATAGGAGGTTAGAGGGGAGTCAGTGAGGTTCAGACGCCAATAGGCTTACAGTTAGCATCAGACTTTATAACAGCTGTCTATTTATGCTCCACACACACACAGGGGTTAATTCACTAAACACTAAATTAAAGCAATTGAATTCCGAAATGCAAGACGGTGCAAAGACAGTTCCACTCATACCTTGTTTATGTGACACTCACACCCAGCACAGTGTGTAAAGGTAAAGAATATGACAGGCTATGCGAAATATGACTGTATATTTATTTTTCCATTTTCAAGGGGTACTCACGTGCATCACCTACATATCAATAGAGAGACCTTGGGAAAAGCCTAGCTCATGTATATGGGAAATCATTTAGAAACCAGACAGAGGAAAGCAGGGCTGTGTGACCTTTTTCACGCTGCCCCCTTTGGATTAGTGCAGAGTTCTCACATCGCCACTTTTACCCCATTTGTTATAAGTTGCCATTAACAGCCAGCACAGCATCCTGCCTTCCAAATACAGAAATAACGTTATACCCAAAGTTTAAACTTCTTACAAATCACACACAAGAAGATTAAATTCAGAGCAGGGGACAGTTCCTCACTCCCATTTCCCAGAATGGTTTGAGAGAAGCTAGGTTTGCACTGCCACTTCGTGAATAAGGTCCATGTTCCCAAATATTGACCCTCACAGTTAGAAGGACCAACTGGATCCATTGTCAAGCTTAATAAGCTTATATAATAAAGGATCAATCAATACTCTGTTGGACCGAGACTAACTGATGCAGCATTTAGTTTAAATCTGCCTTTAGCTATTGAACAATCATGCCCAGACTCGCGTTACAGGATTTCCAGAACGTAAAAAAGGCCAGTGACCGTAGTGCCAAACTAAAGTGCTCATTTTGGAGGCTGTAACATCAAAAGGCTGAGAGAGCACCATGTACTGTGACTACACGTAAATATCAATTCATTGCATATCAGAAATATCGTCAAATAGGGACAGTATTGAAAATTGAAAAAGGAGAAATTAAACACAACATAGATGCTGGGATTAGAGAATTCCTGAAACAAAAGGAGTATTAAACATACAAGCAGACTTGTTACCCCATGGATAGTATGGCTTACACCCAGCAGAGGGAGCAATGGGTGTGCAGTCCACAGCCCTCTCTTTGACCCCTATAATTGTGCGAGACACGTGGGTCTGAGAGGGTCACACAGCTTGTTCCGTTCAATCAGGGTCTCATGTATCATAGACATTCCTTAGTCATGTACACGGGTGTCAGCGAATTGTAGAACCAGCTGTATTCCTGACACTTATTCTCTAATGAGCACCGACATACTCTGCAGCAGTATACTATAAAGACTTCAAGTATACCAAGAGACGCACAGTCACACTGTAAATCACAAACCTCACTATACAACTCATACATACACACTGTTTAAACAGCAATCACAAGACAACTATGAAAAATGCACTCGCTTGCATGCACACCCACAATACAACCCTCCATGCTCACACGCACACTCACCCGCACTACAACCCTCCACGCACACTCACCCGCACTACAACCCTCCACGAACACCGACCCCCCCACAATACAACCCTCCATTATGTAACCATCCATGCTGACCAGTGTTAATTTTGGTGGCAAATTTCAATTAAGTTTTAGTCAGTCTTTTGACTAAAAAGCTTCTTTAATCCTCTAAATAGTTTTAGTCAACTAAATCTAATGGGTTTAAAGTTTCTTTTGACCCTTCCACAGCCCCTCTGTGCAGTGTTCAATTTGGCGGAAAATTTAAATTTAGTTTTAGTCATAGTGTTTTGACTAAAATGCCATTAGTTTTAGTCGTACTTTAGTCATCTGAAATGCTTTAGTTTTAGTTGACTAAATCTCAAAAACTTTAGTCGACTAAAATGAACACGGATGCCGACCCATGCACAGGTTAAGAAAGACCACAAGTATGGAACTGTATGCCCCTGATCTCTTGCACGGCATAGAGTGGGCCATATAGATTTGGTATTACTGAATTATCAATATATTCCCTCTTCCGCAAAAAGAGATCCACCCTGCATCAAAACAAATGTTTTGGAATAGATTAAAAGTGAAGGTGTATAAACACACGTTTACGCAGGAATACGTCTAAATTGGGGCTGTAGAAACAATCTCAATGTTAAGGGGCGTTGCTGTGGCGTCAGGCCTTTGAAATGCCTGTAAGGCAGCTTATTAGAAGTTAAAATGACAGGGCTCCATTCAGATGAAGATAAACCAGTTCCCTAAATAATCCTGCTTAGAGCAGCGAGACGGGAACCGTGAGATGATGGCCAGCTTGGCACCAAGTCATTTCACATAATGGGAACATCCCAATTAGAGTCTGGACAAAAAAAGTCCCACTTCAAAGACCAGGCCAGCCCCACCCCCTCCTCCCCACACAGGAGACCTGCAGATATAACCCAGTCATGTTGCAGTATCCCGAAGGAGCCATCACACCTAATGTACTAACCAGCCGCCCAGAGATCAATGGGGGGTCTGTTCCAAGGGGTCTCAAGGGGGCTACACTGTGCGGATATCCTGCCAGGATCCCCACAACTCCCCCTACCACAAACACATGACAATTACATGCTCTATTACTGCTGATACAGGAAAACTACATTTCAACACACATACTATAAATTAACCCTGCATTTACTGGCACATTTTTCTTTCTCTGAGACTAATGGCGTTATTGAGGGCCACCGGAGGGGGGGGGGGAGGGGGAGAAAGTTTATAGGCAGCGTAATATACATTAACGATCTCCAAGGGGCTCCTTGGAGATACCCAGTGTTAGTTTACAGTACGTAAAAACCAAACACTACCAGTTATAGAGATATAGATTGTAAGCTCTGTTCCTGTACGTCGAGTTGTCTGGTTACAAGTAAATGTCTGTTAGTCCACCCTTTGTACAGCGCTACGGAATCTGATGGCGATAGAGATAGATATAGAGATATATATTTATATATACACACACACACACACACACACACATATACACACACACACGCAGCAATTTGAACATAAACAAGAGTGATAAGTGGACATTTGCAGTTTACATTTGCCTTCAATTTAAAAGGAGAACAATGTTTTGTATGTGCCCAAGGAGCAGCCCTTAAGGTGTGCACTCTCTCCCCCACCCTCCAGGGCTGTATTATCTATGAAAGATATACAACCCTATGCAGACAGTCTATCTGGAGGTGACAGCCAGGCAGGGACAATTAACACAGAAAGAATATATATGCACAGATTTCTGTGTCTCCCGGCAGTGATGAGCTCCATGTACAGATACTGTCAGGTAGGCACTCCGCCCTCGCACGCTATGTGCACAAGGGCGTGCAGCCAGAGAGCAAATATTTATACAATGTGTGCAGGCAAGAAATGCGAGCATTCACTCATTAAATGTGGGGGTGCCATACAAAGATTACCAGGAAAGAGAGAGCGGTTATACGAGTCACCGATACAGCAGGAAGTGTTCTGTATAGTGATACATAGTACGCCAAGCACCTATACAGCATTGATTGTGTGTCTGCTATGGACCTCACTGCTGCAATGTAAATGCTGTATATTCATAGGGTATGTCCGGTAACTATACATTAGACACGGAAGTTTATATAGTGATACTGGGTGCACCAGGGAAGGCGTGCAAGAGTACGTCTGAAGGATCTCACTACATTAGTGTTAGTGCACTGTATTTAGAGTAGAATTTGACAAGTAAATAACTGATTAGTAGTTATATTTTTTGTTGCAGGTACATATTATACCAGAGTCTTGGGAGATTCACCATGGGTACTGTCAGGAAGAACAACAGATTAGCCAGAGATTACAATTTATTCTTCATCAATTTATGTCTGACGAAACTCATTTTCATTTAAGAGGCTTAGTCAATAAGCAAAATTGTTTCTGGGGTACAGAAAAACCACGGATAATTCATCAGAGCCAATTATACCCTATCAAATGCCCCGTCTGGTACGGGGTGACCTCGCAGGAAGTTAGTGTGCAGAAATGTGAGCGCTAGAGTCTCAAAAACATTGGACAATCGTTATGAACAGTGCAATCTAAAGAGCCTGATTTGGAGAGGCGGCAAATAGAGCTCATTTAAAAGACGTCTTCATCTTCCGTATCTAGTAAAACAAATCTCCATACGTTAAGCATTCAAGGCATGTAATATCATTGAAATTGGTTCATTTATAAAAAAAAATTATTATTTTTTAAAGTTATGGACTCTGAATTGTGGCCAACCCTGTACAAGGTGCACATGATAACTCACTATGGCTGGGGCTGCACTATATGGGGATACAGATCAAGTCACCATCTCAGTTCAGTACAGCTGATATCTACTCACACAGCCAGGACCAAAACAGGTCACTGAACCTCAGTCTCTGCTAAGTGCCTATGACCAGTATACGTGTTTACACAAATATTTAACTGGCTCTCAGTAAATAAAAAACAGTCAGTCATACTCATTACTACTGATTACAGCATGGAATAGCATTTTTCATTTTGGTGAGGAGAGCGGTCTGAGTTTCTCTCCCTCTTTACCCCCAGTCAGTTAGTTAGGGATCTGTGTGAACCTGCCAAAATTGAACAAATACCAGTCATCCGTCGTCCCCCACCACACACAATATTGCAAACACTGTATTATCCTTTCGCTGAGTGATCGGTGACACAACAACCAATTTACTCCCTGGAATGCAAACTGAGGGGGGGAGAAATCACCCACAACATTACCAGATTGTAAGCTCTTTAACACAGTCTCCTACTTTGTCCCCTTTCAAATATTTAGGGAAGGGTAACCATTATACCACAAAATGAAATTAAGTCTCCTTTTACACTAGTAGATTGTTAGCTCCTCAGCCCAAGTTTATGCAGTATGCCAGCAGACAACAAGATATATAGCAATGTCTTTTTTTTGTACTACTACACTGTAAGCCCATTGGCACAGAATGTTACAATATAAAGCAAAGCTCCCTGGGGCAAGAGTTCCTGATTCTATACATATTGCTTTTGTTAAGCAGTAAGTCACGCTCGCAGAGTTTGCAATGAGCACATTATATAAACATGCACAGAGCCAGGTGCCCTTTCTACACGCCTGATGTTACCATTTACTGGGCACCCGTCCTCATTAAACAAACAGCTTCAGTTTCTATTAATCTTGGGACAGTGAAAATGAAAGGGGGTTGGGGTGAGGCTTGTCCAGAGATGCTGAAACACGCAGGCTCAGCACAATTCTCCCAGATCAGAGAGTCCAAAGACAGGAATACCGCCAGGGACTGACCTCACATGTCTGTCTGGCTAAATTCACACACAGAAAGAGAACCCCCCATCCCCCTGCAGAAGAGTGCAGCTCCTCTCGCTGTGAATTAAAGGAGCCAAGAATCAGTAGCCCTACACACTAGCGCAGGGTTGGCAAACCTTTTTGGAGCCCAAGTGCCCAAACTGAAAAAAAAAAAAAAATAAATAAATTATTTACCGTAGCTTAAATTGGCAACATTGCAAATAAACCTGAAAACAAAAATTCAAACAAAACCAAATCACACACACGTGACTGTCTCCATCACATGAGGGGTCAGTCTTCCTCCAATGTTGCTCCACCAGTCTGCCTTACCTACTACATCCAACCCTCCATCCCTGGATCAGTAATGCTCTCTGTCGTCCTACACCAGCCCAGCAGCTGTCTGTACAGAGAGCATTCCTGGTACTCCCTGTGTAGGCCCTGGACAATACTTGCTCCCACCATAGCACCCGGCAGCTGGCTCAGCCACTTTACTGAGAGGTTAAAATATATATAGATTTTTGTGGTTTTTGAGCACCCTGGGAGCTTTGTTTCTAGCACAAGATACGCTCCCTGGGCTGTCACTAGCCTTGGGCAATTAAAGAAGTGGCAAGGGTTACAGTAGGCTTCTCAAACCCCTACATGGGGCTTCCCAACATCCGGGCAAGACGAGACCCCCTTATTCTTCTGGTCTGAGATCCAATTTAATAATTATGAATAAGGGAAGACAATTGTTAATGTTTAACGGGGAGAGGAAAGTATCTGAGGAAGGGGGTCTTGAGACAGTGACAGTCTTTCAAATTTATAAACTCAGCTCCACCAGGACACCAAAACTCGGAGATGCCCAGCTCTCTGGCTGCCACATACCTGATGGGTTAAAGGGCTAAGCACCACACTCCTAGCCCAGGATTGGGGGATGGGAAGAATAGCTCAGTGTGAAGAACAAATAGATTTAAAAAAATAAAATTAAAAAAATTGCAAACTAATGGTTTGCGTGTTAGCTGTGGTACACGTGCCATAGGTTTGTCACTTCTGCTCTACTGGAAAGATACTATACATTAGATCTTCCTCGAGAATTAACAAGGAAATCCCAATTGTACACCTGAGAGAATTTGAGTTTTCTAGCTTTTAAATTTAGCCAAGCTCAACTAGATCACATGGTTCCCCCACCCTTTCTAATGGTTCGTTTTTAGTAAATTAAATTCCTGGTGACATGTACACAAGAATATTTGTGTCCCTGGATTCACCATGTATGTAAAACACGAGTACGCGACAATGGATAATTTGAAAGAAGAAAAAATAAAATAAAAAAATAAATAAATAAATAAAAATTATGGTTTTACAGGATTATTGCACATGTAAGGTTACTTTTTTATGGGGCTATAATTTTAAACCAATCTATACTATCGCATTACTACTTTCACATTATAGAAGAAGTAAACTTTAAAAAACAATTTGTTAAATAAAATAAAATATTGGGATATTGAAATCCGTGATTAAATCTCACATTTATTGTCCGATCAAAGAAAGTGGGGAACTTGTCGCACTACTATGCTTCAATCATTTTTCTTTGCATAACCCTTTAATGTTTCAAACAAACAGTCTTTACGTAGAAGGAAAAAAAAAAAAAGTGAAAAATAAAATTAAAACCCACAAGAAATCGGAGTCTATCAAGGACACGTAAATGCCATATGAACTGCCCCGTGATGTATTTAAGAATTACATCAGTTAATGGTACTCCGATCTGATAAATAAGGGAATCTTATACAGTGATGGCAGAGTAGGCATTGAGCACCAAACACGGTAAAGGTCTTTCAATGCCAACTCTCAGCCTCCTGTACGGGCATTCCCTGGCAGGATATTTTATATGCACCCTGCAGGTGAGGAGTGATACCCAAACGAGCACGCAAATAGTACAGAATAGACAAAGCTACCATTGTACGAATGCAGACTGCGTTTCCAAATCACTGGAAGAAGAAAAAGCTGGGGAGGAGTTAACATTAAGCAAGAAATTACATGAAGATTGAGTGAAGGAAAACAAATAAGTTAAATAAAGCAACAGGAAAAAAAAAAAAAAAAGGCACGAAGCAGCCACCCAGCAGAGGTGGTAAGACAAACACTGAAGCCCTACTACCTGATGAGGTTGGAGGTTTTATAGCAGATACCTGAAGGGCTGGCAGGTCCAACATGCCCTCACAAGGAGCCTTAAGGTGGAATGTTTATTCTCCAAAGAGAAGCATAATTAATAATTACTCCTTTCATGTTTTACAAATGCGAGCAGATCAGAGCTGGCAACAGGGAAGGAGAGGTGAAGGTGGTAACCTAAAATTTGCAGAGTGGAGAGTATCACTCAGAAAGCATCACACTAGCTCATTTAGCATGAGTGAGCCATCGAGGTACCTTAACAGGCACAGCCAAGACCATGCCAGGCAAAATATGATTCTGGAGGGCAGGGATCGAGTTCCTAGGTTAAAAGACCACATGGAAAGAGAAAATGTTAGGAAATGCCTTTTTCCACTAGATTCAGAGCTCCCCCAAATCCCACAGGCCTCTTCCTCCGTGGATACAGAGCTCCCCAAATCCCACAGGCCTCTTCCTCCGTGGATACAGAGCTCCTCAAATCCCACAGGCCTCTTCCACCGTGGATACAGAGCTCCTCAAATCCCACAGGCCTCTTCCACCATGGATACAGAGCTCCTCAAATCCCACAGGCCTCTTCCACCATGGATACAGAGCTCCTCAAATCCCACAGGCCTCTTCCTCCGTGGATACAGAGCTCCTCAAATCCCACAGGCCTCTTCCTCCGTGGATACAGAGCTCCTCAAATCCCACAGGCCTCTTCCACCATGGATACAGAGCTCCTCAAATCCCACAGGCCTCTTCCACCATGGATACAGAGCTCCTCAAATCCCACAGGCCTCTTCCACCATGGATACAGAGCTCCTCAAATCCCACAGGCCTCTTCCACCATGGATACAGAGCTCCTCAAATCCCACAGGCCTCTTCCACCATGGATACAGAGCTCCTCAAATCCCACAGGCCTCTTCCACCATGGATACAGAGCTCCTCAAATCCCACAGGCCTCTTCCACCATGGATACAGAGCTCCTCAAATCCCACAGGCCTCTTCCACCATGGATACAGAGCTCCTCAAATCCCACAGGCCTCTTCCTCATGGATACAGAGCTCCTCAAATCCCACAGGCTTCCACCATGGATACAGAGCTCCTCAAATCCCACAGGCCTCTTCCACCATGGATACAGAGCTCCTCAAATCCCACAGGCCTCTTCCACCATGGATACAGAGCTCCTCAAACCCACAGGCCCTTCCTCCTGGATACAGAGCTCCTCAAATCCCACAGGCCTCTTCCCACCATGGATACAGAGCTCCTCAAATCCCACAGGCCTCTTCCACCATGGATACAGAGCTCCTCAAATCCCACAGGCCTCTTCCTCCGTGGATACAGAGCTCCTCAAATCCCACAGGCCTCTTCCTCCGTGGATACAGAGCTCCTCAAATCCCACAGGCCTCTTCCACCATGGATACAGAGCTCCTCAAATCCCACAGGCCTCTTCCACCATGGATACAGAGCTCCTCAAATCCCACAGGCCTCTTCCTCCGTGGATACAGAGCTCCTCAAATCCCACAGGCCTCTTCCACCATGGATACAGAGCTCCTCAAATCCCACAGGCCTCTTCCACCATGGATACAGAGCTCCTCAAATCCCACAGGCCTCTTCCACCATGGATACAGAGCTCCCCTCAAATCCCACAGGCCTCTTCCACCATGGATGGATGGACCACAGAGCTCCTCAAATCCCACAGGCCTCTTCCTCCGTGGATAGGCTCCCCAAATCCCACAGGCCTCTTCCACCATGGATACAGAGCCCCTCAAATCCCACAGGCCTCTTCCACCATGGATACAGAGCTCCTCAAATCCCACAGGCCTCTTCCACCATGGATACAGAGCTCCTCAAATCCCACAGGCCTCTTCCTCCGTGGATACAGAGCTCCTCAAATCCCACAGGCCTCTTCCTCCGTGGATACAGAGCTCCTCAAATCCCACAGGCCTCTTCCACCATGGATACAGAGCTCCTCAAATCCCACAGGCCTCTTCCACCATGGATACAGAGCTCCCCCAAATCCCACAGGCCTCTTCCACCATGGATACAGAGCTCCCCAAATCCCATGTAGACAATCTTTCTGGGTACAGAAAGCGCCAGCATATTCAGTAGCGCTGTACATATATATCTCTTCTTCACAAGAACAGAGCTCCCAAAACTGTGCAAGTTTTTCTCAACTTGGTAGAGAGAGCCCACAGGTTCCTATTTTCACAACAAAAGCATTATTTGTCTCAGTATGTACAGAGCTCCCCATGTTTTGCAAATCTGTAGTTTCTCCATAACATACAAGCAGGTTTTTTTGAAGTGTACTTAAATCCTTAAAATTGAGAAAGAACCATAATATATCACATCATGACCTCCACGTACCAAGCCGCCTGGGTACCACCACAAACCGTGTATCCCAGGGTTAGCATTACATAATGGAATTCACACAGTCTGAGGCCTATTAGTGATAAATCTGGCAGGTTTCATAATGACTAAAACCTACAAACCCAGCAGGGAGCACCCTCCTCAGTCTCTCCCCCTCCAGAGCCACAAACCAGGCATATCTTCCCCTGATTTATGCTCATCTCTGGCTAGTATATCTAACAGTGAGACAGATGGAGGCTGCGTGTTTATAGAAGTGTCAGTGCAGCAGAGAAACATCACAGGATCCTCTCTCTGTGTCAGACACCCAGCGCATTCCTTCAGGTGGGGATTCAGCAGCCAGCGAGGGGCCCCTAAACTGGATCCCACTCCAGGGAAACCATGTAAACAGCCCACAGCCCCTCCCTGAGCGGAGTCATATAGAAATATCCGTATGGTGGCTATGGTTACATAAAAAAGGTATTGGGTTAAAGGGACATTTCCAGCAACCAATACTTCTTTAATGCATTTTACAGGTTTTGGCCTTATTACAATGCTGTATTTTTTTGCTTGCTCAAATCTTTATAGTTTTTGCCCAGAATAAATAAATGTTTTGCAGAATGCTGCACTATAAGTCTGCCTCTTTAACCACACCCCCTCACTGTAGAAAAATACTTCCTCATTAATAAAGGCACAAAAAACAACCTGCATTAGAAGGAGAGGATAGCACTACCTGTTTATAGTTTCTCTGACTGTCTGCAGCCAGGTTGTGAATTAAAAGCCGCTAGCTTAGAGCTGTTGCAGTGTAGACTGCAGGCATACATTTGATAAGGAAGTCTCTCTGGAGTGAGGCGGTGTGGCTAAAGGGACAAGATGATGAACAACAGTTCATTTTATTATTTTATGCGGAAACTATAAAGTTTTGAACATGCAAAAAAAAAAAAAAAAACATTTTAAAAAAAAATAGCATATTAATAAGACCAAAATCTATTACGGGTCATGATTTAGAACCCATATTAGGAGAATAACAGACACTGAAAAAAAAAAAAAAGGACTTTCATAAATTATGACAATCTCAGCCATTGGGGAATTCTGCGGTGGAATTGTACCCCTATATTTAAACCAAACCCAATGAAGCATTGCCCAATCTTTGCCATTACTGACTTCTCCTGGGAGTCTGTACGATTTAGGTTTCAGCCTCAGGCCAAAAGAAGGAGTTTTCCTTTTTTAAATCTCAGCAGGCCTTTTCAAATGCACTGAACATACAATAAAGGATTTGTCCACCTATTTAGCTAATTACCCAGAGCTGATGTAGATCTCTAAACAAGGCTTGCAAAAAGCTAGATTCTGCCTTTCGCAATTTCAAGGTCTGAGACTTTCATTGTAAACTTGTCGGACGTATTGGAACTGCTAAAAATTGGTCTATGTGACAATTTGTGCCACCAGCCAGCCACTAATAAGCCGCACTCCCCAATGCTAACCGTTTCAGCCGCTTCGTCAAATATAATGATTATGCCTATAAGCAAGTATTGAAGCTTCCAGTTGGCCAATCAAGGATGGAAATGGCCTCCGCCTCCTGACATGTTTATACAGCTGAAATAATGCTCTGTGGATTTATCCGAAATACAATCTGTCTTTTTTTTTTTTTTTTAAACAAATTTTCTTCTCTGGGACACCATTTTACTTTTATAGCAGAATAAAATGATTCTTTACAAAAGTGAGTTAAACATCAAATTCAAAGCTAAAATAGCCAAACTGAAAAATTAGAAGAGTCGAAGATTTGTTCGAAGTTTGGCTGCTTTGGTCCTAAATTTTAAAATTCACTCTCAATAACCCAGTTTTCAATTTGGCTATTTTTGGTCTATAAATTTTAATTTAATTTAGAATTTCTGACGAGTGGGCTTTTAATTCATCTGATGTCTTCACGTTACCCAAGACTACAATAAGATATCGCATTACACTCAGGGCTAAATCACTGGACATTTTAACAAACTGAATCCAAACGGCAGGACTTGCCAAGCAGAGACTGGAGCCAAGATGGACAATGTCTGCAGTTGGGATATTTTAGGATCAATTTTTGTCATTCGGATTGCATCCGTAAATTTTAAAGTTTAGTGAACAAAACAAGTTTGGAGGTGAAGGATTAATAATACTGTATTTTGGATAAACATCATGAGCCTCTGAAGAACTGGGTGTACCCCGAAAAATATTGGTATCATATTTTCTTAATGTGCGAGTAATTCATTCATTTTTAAAAAAAACTTCCTAAATATTAATATATTATGTGATCTGTCACTTGGAAATTAGGAAAGATATTTATGACTAGGTACTTGCGTAAAAGGGGGGCGTGACCCCTTTACGTGTGCGATACGGTCTTAGTTTAAAAAGCTGTAATGAAACACGTAGAAGTTATGTAGCAAATCATCCTTAACATTCCAGACAGAATTGCTGTACCGAGAAGCTGAAGCACGCAATGTATCCTCAAGCGAAAATACTTTTTTAATTTTTTTTTTTTTTTTTTTTTAATTTTTTTTTTTTTTTAAAAAGGCCAGTAGTGTTTTATTCACTAAACTACGGATTGTAGTGAATTGAAATCCAAACGGCAAAATTCAGGGTTATACATGGGACTCTGAAAAATTCTCCATCTAAGCTACGGTCACAGCGGAGCTATTTGAACCTATATTTTACAATTCAGTTTTTAAATCCCTACAATTCAGAGTTTAGTAAAGGGGGGAGCACATTGTTTATATTCCAGGACAAAAGAAAGAAAGGGCACTGTTCACTTTGCATCAGCCTTCGCTTTTGCCAGGACTCAAGATCTGCTCCCTTATATGCATATAACATCAGCTGACGGAGGGATACATAAAAACAACAGATTTTAGCACTTGAATTTACCCAGGCCTCAGTCCCCAAACACGTCTAACAAGACCACAATGATGGGAAAAAATTGGGGATTTCAGTTTTCGTTAATATTTCACAGCACAAATGTCTGCTCCAATCTGTTAGCGAACAAAATGGATCCTACATAGATCATAAAATTAAAAATAAATATCGTTTTCATATCGTCACAAAACACCAGCGACAGACTAAAAAAATAAATAAATAAATAAATAAAATAAAAATGTAAGTGTCTCAGAGCTGTCTTCTCTGCAACGGTTACCAACAAGGTTTAATGTATTTAAAGAATCTACATTTTATTTTAAACAAAAGAAAAAAAAAAAAAAAAAATACAAATTTAAGATCACCACTTTTTAAAGTCTGAATTCGAACATTACGGAAAGTAAACATGTATCTGCTACCATATACAATTAGCAATTCAAGAAAAGGTTTATTTAAATTTTTTTTAAAAAAAAGGTAAATAAACCAAATTAAGGTATGTGCAAGTGTATGGGAGAATTTATAGATTTATTTGGGGAGCGGGGGTTGGTACTGTTTAAACAAAGATGCAAAATTCTGACTCACACCTAGTTAGAAAACAAGCAATGCTTGCACTTATGAGCTGCGGAGCCAGCCTGGCTAGCGGACGCAGGCTGCGCCAACACAAACAGCGTTCCATCCACGCACACCGCTCATTGCAGCCTGAAAACTAGCCTGGAAAAATGGGAATATACTGCACTCCACAAAAATACAGACAGGTCCAAAATAAGCAGGCTCCCTGCCCAAAATAACAAACCCTTCCTGTATCACACCATGCCCTTTGGGGAGGGGGCACAGAGCCTTTCACTGCAGAAAGCAAGAGCAGACAGACTGTAAGCTCTTGGGGATAGGGGAAAAAAATAAATAAAAATGAGGTTTGCAAAAAAATAAATTAAAAATAAAGTAATATACAAACATCTACATTATCTGTCTACATTGGATGCTGTAGAGTGTATAAGACTTTAATGTTGGGTATTTTTAATCTGGTTATTTAAGAGACAGTCCCTCCCTAATTGGCATTTTCTTTACTAAATGACAGGATACACTGAAATGACATGTATACAAATTGCATGTTCCCAGGGTTGTTACACCACTCATGAGGTCAAACAAGAAATTCAAGGGGGTGGAGAGGTGTTCAAAGTCTGGAGCTAAAAGAATGGGTTCAAAGTATAGATTTCAGCCATCCCACCAAAACTATGCAGTGGGTTCAGATAGATTTTATTGCCCCACATCAGGCCCAATGTCTCGTCACACAGAGAATGAGCGAAACTTCTGAAGGTTTATGCAAATCAAGAAGTGACAAGGACAGGAATGATGGGACATTCTCTATTGTAAGGATCCTCTTTAATGCAATGAGCAGCTGTGCATGGAACAAAAGATGTAGGTCTGTCGGTCTGTAGGTAACGGCTTTTTGGAAGGGGGAAGGAACATGCTACACTTGTTTTTCTAAGTACTTATTAATTGTTCTGTGCCCTGAAGCTAAATGGAAACCAAATATTTGGCATGCCTCACTTTTCCCCTGGTAATGTAATGGGGTAAAGCACCCCCTCCGCAACACCTCCCCCAGGACTTACACAGGGGACACTGAGCCCCTCTCTCTGGTTCTCATTAAGCAAAAAAAAGCAGCTAGATACAGTCACAGACCAAACAAAGGGACCTGAAGGGGAGGGGGCACAAGACAAAACCACATCAAAAAATGGATGGTATCCAGACATCCTGGCACCAGGGGCCCTGGGTATCGGCTAGGCCTTGGGCAGAGGGGATTAGGAGGTCATGTACAGTATAGGTACCAGGTGAAGTGAGAAAGGGATCACTTACTTTTAGATAAGTATTCACCTACAGATAGGGGGCTGCTTGTTGGGGAGGCAACTGTGTATAGAGAATGGGGGAGGGGGGCAATACTAGAAGGATTAGTGTGATACACTGGAAGAAATGGAGGGAGGGTGGGGGTCACTGTCCAGAATTAGAGTTGCAAAAAGATGAAGGGGGAGTCACCGTCTCGGATTAGATTAGGGGGGAAAAAAAGTTAGGAATAGTTGGAGAGAGAGTTTCTGTATTTGATTAGTGTTTGACAAATGAATGGGGAGTAAAGGGGGGGATCATGTCTGTAAAAAGAGGAAGAGGAGGAAGAAACTGTCTGGGATTAGAGTGTTGGGACAAGAAATTGGGGGAATGAATGTTTGATTTGGGGACTGGACAGAGAAATGGGGGGGGGGGAGGAGTTTGGACTAGGCACAGAGCTATAGAAGGTCAATGGAGGGGTATAGATAAAAATTACAGTGAAGGTAAAAGAATGTCTATATAATTAGAGGGTTAAATTAAAATGTAGACTGGGCATTATTAATTAAGGATTAGAGTGTTGGGTAAGAAAACCGAGATGGCAGTGCGAGATTAGAGCGCTGGATAAAAAGGTATGGTCCGGATCATTGTGAAAGGAACAAAGTCCTGAATTAGACTGCTCTGCGAGAAGGACAGGGGGAGCACAGTCAGACTGGAGAGATGGAGGAATGGGATGATGTGGCACTGTAATCAATTAAAGGGGGAACTCAAACAAGAAGCTGGGGGTCACTGGCAAGTTAGACAGTATCCAGGATTAGAATAACTGATCAGCAATGTAATTACCTTAGCTTTAACAGTGGGTAGTACAGGGCTGCTGGAATGGCAATTGTTGGCAAAGTTCCTCAAGTGCAGCAATCACCATGGAAACCAGATGAATGACAGGGCAGATTGCTGCACATTTAGAATGCTGCCCTTACATTACAGTATAATGTATCTACTTACTGATACTAATAGTTTGCAGGTCAGGGAATACACACCATGTCCAGGGGGGGAAGGGGGGAGAAATATGCAGAGATTTGGGGGAGCACATAGATCCAGACTTGGGTGGGAGTTAGAGAAACAGTTCCAGGGATGGGGGGTGGGGGGAGTGAGGCTCAGAGGGGAACACAGAGGAGTCCAGGGATTGGGGGTCCTACCTGGGGTTGGAGTTGTTCCAGTGCACCGCATGTTTGACACTATACACCCTCCTGGCTTGTTCCAGCACCGTGCATACACACAGCAGGCTCCGAAGCAGACCCTCAGCCTTCATGTCTGTGCTGTGCTGCTCCCAGCTCTGGGAGGAGAAATACTGCCACCTCCCTCCCTGCAAAGGTATACAGGCCCCGCCCACAGGGGCTCAGCTCCAGCCAATCACAGCCCGGCACCCAAACTCTGTTAACTTACACAGCTTCAACATTAACCCTCCACACTCACTCTGTATTACACCCATCACCACTATACAGAACTACCTCACTCTGTATTACACCCAACACCACTATGCAGAACTACCTCACTCTGTATTACACCCAACACCACTATACAGAACTACCTCACTCTGTATTACACCCAACACCACTATGCAGAACTACCTCACTCTGTATTACACCCAACACCACTATACAGAACTACCTCCCTCTGTATTACACCCAGCACCACTATACAGAACTACCTCACTCTGTATTACACCCAACACCACTATGCAGAACTACCTCACTCTGTATTACACCCAACACCACTATACAGAACTACCTCCCTCTGTATTACACCCAGCACCACTATACAGAACTACCTCACTCTGTGATAGGCTATCCTATCTATAAGATAAGGCTAGGGACTAATGAAAGTTTTTAGAAAATTGGGCAGACTAGATGGGCCGAATGGTTCTTATCTGCCGTCACATTCTGTATTTCTATGTTTCTATGTTTCTATGTATTACACCCAACACCACTATACAGAACTACCTCACTCTGTATTACAGCCAGCACCACTATACAGCACTACCTCCCTCTGTATTACACCCAGCACCACTATACAGCACTACCTCCCTCTGTATTACACCCAGCACCACTATGCAGAACTACCTCACTCTGTATTACACCCAGCACCACTATGCAGAACTACCTCCCTCTGTATTACACTCAGCACCACTATGCAGAACTACCTCACTCTGTATTACACCCAGCACCACTATACAGAACTACCTCCCTCTGTATTACACCCAGCACCACTATGCAGAACTACCTCCCTCTGTATTACACCCAGCACCACTATGCAGAACTACCTCACTCTGTATTACACCCAGCACCACTATGCAGAACTACCTCCCTCTGTATTACACCCAGCACCACTATGCAGAACTACCTCCCTCTGTATTACACCCAGCACCACTATACAGAACTACCTCCCTCTGTATTACACCCAGCACCACTATGCAGAACTACCTCACTCTGTATTACACCCAGCACCACTATGCAGAACTACCTCCCTCTGTATTACACCCAGCACCACTATACAGAACTACCTCCCTCTGTATTACACCCAGCACCAATATGCAGAACTACCTCCCTCTGTATTACACCCAGCACCACTATGCAGAACTACCTCCCTCTGTATTACACCCAGCACCACTATGCATAACTACCTCCCTCTGTATTACACCCAGCACCACTATACAGAACTACCTCCCTCTGTATTACACCCAGCACCAATATGCAGAACTACCTCCCTCTGTATTACACCCAGCACCACTATGCAGAACTACCTCCCTCTGTATTACACCCAGCACCACTATGCAGAACTACCTCCCTCTGTATTACACCCAGCACCACTATGCAGAACTACCTCACTCTGTATTACACCCAGCACCACTATGCAGAACTACCTCCCTCTGTATTACACCCAGCACCACTATGCAGAACTACCTCACTCTGTATTACACCCAGCACCACTATGCAGAACTACCTCCCTCTGTATTACACCCAGCACCACTATGCAGAACTACCTCCTTCTGTATTACACCCAGCACCACTATACAGAACTACCTCCCTCTGTATTACACCCAGCACCACTATACAGAACTACCTCACTCTGTATTACAGCCAGCACCACTATACGAAACTACCTCACTCTGTATTACAGCCAGCACCGCTATACAGCACTACCTCACTCTGTATTACACCCAGCACCACTATACAGAACTACCTCACTCTGCATTACAGCCAGCACCACTATACAGCACTACCTCACTCTGTATTACAGCCAGCACCACTATACAACACTACCTCACTCTGTATTACAGCCAGCACCACTATATAGAACTACCTCACTCTGTATTACAGCCATCACCACTATACAGAACTACCTCACTCTGTATTACAACCAGCACCACTATACAGAACTACCTCACTCTGCATTACAGCCAGCACCACTATACAGCACTACCTCACTCTGTATTACAGCCAGCACCACTATACAGAACTACCTCACTCTGTATTACACCCAGCACCACTATACAGCACTACCTCACTCTGTATTACACCCAACTCCTCTATACAGAAGTACCTCCCTCTGTATTACACCCAGCACCACTATACAGAACTACCTCCCTCTGTATTACAGCCAGCACCGCTATACAGCACTACCTCACTCTGTATTACACCCAACTCCACTCTACAGAACCTCACTCTGTATTACACCCAACCTCCAATATACAGAACAACCTCACTCTGTATTACACCCATCATCACTATACAGAACTACCTCACTCTGTATTACACCCAGCACCACTATACAGAACTACCTCACTCTGTATTACACCCAACTCCTCTATACAGAACTACCTCACTCTGTATTACAGTCAGCACCACTATACAGAACTACCTCACTCTGTATTACAGCTAGCACCACTATACAGAACTACCTCACTCTGTATTACACCCAGCACCACTATACAGAACTACCTCACTCTGTATTACACCCAACTCCTCTATACAGAACTACCTCACTCTGTATTACAGCCAGCACCACTATACAGAACTACCTCACTCTGTATTACACCCAACTCCTCTATACAGAACTACCTCACTCTGTATTACAGCCAGCACCACTATACAGAACTACCTCACTCTGTATTACACCCAACTCCTCTATACAGAACTACCTCCCTCTGTATTACACCCAGCACCACTATACAGAACTACCTCACTCTGTATTACACCCAGCACCACTATACAAACTACCTCACTCTGTATTACACCCAGCACCACTATACAGAACTACCTCACTCTGTATTACAGCCAGCACCACTATACAGAACTACCTCACTCTGTATTACACCCAACTCCTCTATACAGAACTACCTCACTCTGTATTACACCCAGCACCACTATACAGAACTACCCCACTCTGTATTACACCCAACTCCTCTATACAGAACTACCTCACTCTGTATTACAGCCAGCACCACTATACAGAACTACCTCACTCTGCATTACACCCAACTCCTCTATACAGAACTACCTCACTCTGTATTACACCCATCACCACTATACAGAACTACCTCACTCTGTATTACACCCAGCACCATTATACAGAACTACCTCACTCTGTATTACACCCAACTCCTCTATACAGAACTACCTCACTCTGTATTACAGCCAGCACCACTATACAGAACTACCTCACTCTGTATTACACCCAACTCCTCTATACAGAACTACCTCACTCTGTATTACAGCCAGCACCACTATACAGAACTACCTCACTCTGTATTACACCCAACTCCTCTATACAGAACTACCTCCCTCTGTATTACACCCAGCACCACTATACAGAACTACCTCACTCTGTATTACACCCAGCACCACTATACAAAACTACCTCACTCTGTATTACACCCAACTCCTCTATACAGAACCTCACTCTATATTACACCCAACTCATCTATACAGAACCTCACAATATTACACCCAACTCCACTCTACAGAACCTCACTCTGTATTACACCCAACCTCCAATATACAGAACAACCTCACTCTGTATTACACCCAACCTCCAATATACAGAACAACTTCACTCTGTACTACACTCAGTCTCCAGAATACAAATCAACCTCGATCTATATTATACCAAAGCTCCACTATACAGAACTTTACTCTATACAGTACAACCTCCACTCCACTATACAGAATCTCACTCTGTATGACAGCCAACCTCCACGATACAGAACAACAACCGCACTCTATACTGCACCCAACTCCACTACACAGAATCTCACTCTATACTACACTTCATCTTTTCTATACAGAACAATCTCACTCTGTACCACACCCAACCTCCACTATACAAAACTCCCATCAAACTATCACTATACAGAACACTTTCACTCTACACTATGCCCAGTCTCCAATAAAAATAACCACACTTCATCTTATACCCAGCTTTTACTCTACAGAATTACCAATTCTCCATCTACTACACACTGTGTCCACTATTTAGAAGAAGATTACTTGTATGGCCTAGCAAGGTTATGGGACACCTGGGGGCCTATATTAGCGGCCCCCGCCACCCCCCAAAGCAGTTCCATGAAAGACTGCCAATCCCTTGCAGCAGATTTTTTTTTTTTTTTTTATAATAATAATAATAACAAATGTTTAGAGATCCATGACTGCTAAGGAATACACTAGGCACCATAACAACTTCATGAAAATTAAGTTTTTAGGGTGTGAGAAGGTCCCCAGTTTAACCCCAAAGTGCTAAATCCAGCATGCGATCGCTCTGCCCATCTCCTCCTGTAACTGCAAGTGGTACCCTATCACTCCTATAACATGTTAATTGTTAGAATTTAGCAGGACTGTCCTTACTAGCATGTTAGCAACAATTTCCTATAGATAGTCAAGTTTCTCTGTTTATATTTTATAAATTATTCAGAATACAATAAAAATGGGGATCTGGAAGAAATAACTTATTTGTCTTTTCAAAACATTTTATTGAGTATAAATTAATATATATAAATGAATATTTATACAAAAACGTAATAATCCCTTAATATATTATATAGCAGAATATATAGAAATAAACGAATATATGCGTGCAGTAAGAGGTTTTAGTACAACATACCTTCCTGATGTACAGGAAAAAAATCTCCCAACAGTGTCTCCTGCAGAGTCAGTCAGCAAGTCTTGTCCAGTATTGTTCAATAAGACATATATATAGCTTAGCATTGCTAGTTACTACAGGTAATTTATGGGTTAATTACACAAGCAGTTCCCA